AAGTCAGGGCAGCTATGCTACGGCGATGAGAAAGTGACCGGAGTATAGGTATCTTTGTGGAACTTAACACAAAATCTGGTTTAGGAATGTAGAATGAAATTGTTAACCATCGTAGAGATTGCAGAGCCGTTTCAATAAGACATTAAAAACCTTCGTGTAATAATCAATTATTACACGAAGGTTTGTAATGTTTGTAGCGCTAATAGGAAGGCTTCATGCAAATGCGTATCTCTGTGTGTTCAGTTATGTATATAAATTTACTTTAAATTTTAAAGAGTACCTAGTATAGAGAAGGGAATATATTTCAAAGAGTATATAAAACTACAAATGCTTTATGATCTGTATATGGAAAAAATGTTGGGTATTAGAAATGTCATTATTTTTCTTTGTTTCTCATTACAACAAAATCATCCAGTTGTTGCTTTCTCCTAGCAACACGTAATTATCGCCCAAAGGCCATTAGACAGAAAACTCCACCCATCATATATTGACATTAGCCGCAAACCCAACCGACAAGAATTGCTCTTTCCTTCGCTTTCTCTCCTATCACTTCAGAATTATTCAACAATTACGGATACAAGAAAAAATATGACCATCATGTGTCTCGTTACTAATACAAGTGCGTATTTTGCACTACTTCTGGTGGTTGGTATCTAGACTTAGTAAACCACTTTTTTCATATTCGATCATTTGCAGAACCTTCTCCATAAACAATATACAAAAGTTGCACTTTTACCTTTGTTAAAAAAAAAACAAAAAAACATTATAATTATTGCCAATTCCTCTCCTTTTTAAACGTTAGAAAAAATGGACAAATTGCTAATTTAAAAATACACCCTTGTCCAAATTAATTGAAACAAAACGAATAATTCCGTTCTTATTTACTTTCTTTTTCATATATTTCCAATGAAACATGAACCAGTGCACATGTTAGTACTTCGTATGCCCATTCCACGAAGTCGTTCCTTGCAGATTAACTACAGATTCTTGATTGCATTTAAATCAAACCAATCTATAGTACTTTGATTTGCTCACTGATAAGGTTTTCCAGTGTGTTTGTGCTGCATTACAATTTTCGCACGCTTCCTTGGAGTAACGTCCATCACAGACAATGGCCGTAGGCCAACTAATCGACAGCCAAGACGATAGTGTCTTGGCGTGATGAAAATGTAATGCAATTACGGCACAATATTTTTCAAGGCTAAATAAATTTCATCATATACCCCGAAAATAGAATCATATTACTGCACACCACTAACCCTTAATCTGAGGAAAAAATAGAAATCGATTACACCCTGTCACTCCAGAGGGTCTAAAACTGACCGAATGGTGAAAAAAAAGGAAACTAAATCAGTTGTTTCAATTAATTTACACAAGGATGTATATATGCAATGGTAGCTATCACAATACAACCAAAAGTGATCATTCTGAATGTAGCTATCTAAAACTAAACACTCCTAACGTCATCTAAAAACCTGAATTAAATAATTGACTAGGTTAATACTTGATCTATATCCCCAACTGCTGCTGAATTAAAATGTATGAATAGCTTCACAGCCGAACATTTCATCGTCCATTTCAAGTGCCATATGGTCGGCGGTTTTTATAACGAAACTCGTCCATGCGAAATAACATTCTGTATGCAAAATTAAACTTTCTTCCATACAGTTTATTTCTTGTCATATCTGTTTACCTCTTGAGCTGTAGTATCATTTGATAAAAATTACATTTAAGCTATTTAAATATCGGCAAATCTAATTAAAAATTCAATAACCCTATAAAATTCAAGCGTTAACGAAAACATCAATTTAAACTTGCTTAATTTATTAAAATATAACGTGGCATTTTAATAATTGGTTACACGTGAACAGCCCTCTCTAATATTTATGTCGCATTTTCTTTAGATGAAATTATCAGCGATTAGCAGCATTTCTTTTATATTAATGCCAATTGTAGGGAAAGCTGAACAGCATTATACATGCCCTACAAGAGGAAGACGATTTGCTGTCCCAGCCAAATAGTGATGACTATCTCAGCCCAAATGATGTCTCTGCTACGCAACCAACTCTGCTAGATCTTCCGGGACAGCACAATTTTCAGACCTGTTTCTCCACATTGAACATATATGGGCATCATTGAAAGATTCCTGACTATTTCGGCTAATTCAGCGACGATTGTATTGCGCCAAGAGTTGCAATAGGCGTTGGATTGAATTCGCAATCTGTACGACCGTATGCCTGCAACAGTACAGACATTTCTGTTCATATCCAAAGAGTAAGGACAATATATTAATATGGGATGAGCATTCTTGATACGCCCTTTATTTTATAGTCCAGGGTATGACGGTAAATTACATCCGGCAGCAAGGTTTCTGATCAGAAGACTTAAGTTTTGGAGAAGCGTGAAAACACCTCTTAATTGCTGCTGTTTTCAAGTCCACCATGACCCGGGGTGGTAGCACCTGTTAGGGTCCCAGCTATCGGCAAATAGTGAACCCTCAAACAAAAAGAAAACATTATGAAAGTATAAAAATACATTTTTATAATAAAAATACGAGTAATATATTTTGTACATAAAAAATTACTAACAATACATACTTATTGCAAAATTATCAAATTACTCCAAAGCTTTCAAGAAAAATAAATTTCGACATTAACTGACCCATAAGGAGTTGATATGCCATTGTTCAAACAAATCAAAATCAATACTCTTTATTTTGAAACCTGCGCAGGTATTTATGTTATCGATGAATGAAAATACTGGAAAAAATGTCCGACTCCTTATAACGTCCAGAATGTACTTGATGCTACCATTTGTTTTAATCATGCAAGGTGGTAAAGCCACTAAGACACAGGTGGAAGAATTAGAAACAGAAACATTACTAATGAGCAAAAACAAAAAAGTAATCAGGATGACAGTAGATAGCGATTGACTTAAATTTTTGCGGATTAAAGTTGGCTGGAAAGCATGGATATGGAAGGGAGTTCCACAAGCGAGAAGTGCGACAAAAGAAATGTTGGGCATAGAATTTACGGTCACAGCTAACAATCTCAACTGTAAGTTGATGTGATCTCGACGCTAGTCTTGCAGTGCGTTTAAATTCAAAAACTCTAGGTACGATAGCTAAAAGCTCATCTGGACAACTACCATGAAATTATTTATAGAAAAGGCACAGGGAAGCAACTTTACGGCGGCGGGAAAGTGACAAAATCCGAGATACTAGACTAGGGTCAATAATATTGCAGATTCTTCTTTGGATTATATCAAGGAGTTCTAGATAAATAGCAGGACCACCAGACCATATGTGTCAGGAATATTCTAAGCATGGGTGGATGGTAGACATCTAGATATGTAGGATAAATTCTGGGGATAAATAGTGCCTCACACGATACAGAAAACCAGCTTTCTTAGCGTCTACCACGCTGGATTTTTGCAAAAGTGATATCAGTCCAAAATTGGAGTAGTGTTGTTGTATCTACACCGGAGCTTCCCAATCCTTTCTTCCAACCTCGGTACAGTTGAAAAGCGTTTACTCGGCCTTGTAGGCGATGAATTATTTTCCAGTCGAACCCTCCTTTTCCAGAGAGGCAACGTCGCAAGCCTATTAATACGCTATCGCTATTTCTATGAAAAATGTTCTGACGAGTTACATTCTCCAGTTTCACCAGTTGAAATTTTATAGCTAAGATGCGCCATGTCATCTACACAGAATTGAATCATCCTCATTCCTCCCGTATTCTATTGGTTAGAAAAGAAGTTAAATCCAAACAGCTTCTTCGCTGCTTTGTTGAATAGACCACAACTATATCAAACGTTATCTATATTATATATCTTCATAATCTACAAACCCATTCAGAAAATCTCTATTTTGAGTGGCTTTTAAAGCTTACATTGCGTGAACAATAGCGTAAAAATGTTTTTTCAGGACGTAGGGGGACGTGGCTCTCCACTGTTTCTTTTTCTTTATTATGTGTCACTTGTCATGGATTCATAAGAGAGAGTAGTTTGATCCTCTGATATTTTCGAAATTTTGGGATTTTTGATTTTTAGAATTCGCTCCAATTCTTACACTGTTCCCACATCTATTGATCCGTATATATGATCATTTATTAATCCAATTATATAAACAGTATCTCCTGTAAATTGAAAGTAGATATTTATGTTGTTACAGTTTTATTTCTTGTCAGGTTATTTAAGAGAAAAAATTATTTATTTAGTGTCGATATCTACCGACGAAGAGATTTGTAATTGACTGTCTTGCCTTGCGAATTTGCAAGAATACAAATGAGACCGTCGGGGGGAATGATTTAGCAAGAGTAGCTTAGACGTGACACAATGCCGAAATTATGGAGCACGCACCTAGTGAGAATCAAACTCATTTCTCGGGTTTAATTAATGAGACCATCTTGTTGACCATTACACCACATCGAAGTGTCTCGTCTGCGTGAGTGTATAAGTGGAGAAGAATTGGCATTGTATGTAGATGCGTGTGTGTCTGTTTACTTCTCAGTCTCAAAACTTTTCGCCATCTCTCTCTCTCTTTCTTTTTCTCTCTCTCATTCTTTCTACCTTCCTTTCTTTCACACAAACCCATTCACTTTCCTCTTTCCCCCCCTCTCTCTCTCTCTCTCTCTATCTCTCTCTCTCTCTCATTCTATCTCTTTCTTTAAGAACCACGAGAAGGTCTAGGTGTATGTGTGTGGTCTTCTGATGAAATGCCTTGCTTCCTTTCTATCAACTCGAAGTTACTTCCGGTGTCTGGCCTCTTCGGCACATACCAACCACAGGTTAAGACAATCATTTATTTTTGGGGGAATGTAGAAAACAATTTATATATATATATATATATATATATATATATATATATATATAGCATAGTTTAAATATAAAGAATGTGAAGATGGTCAAGTTGTTGTTTTCTTTCATATTGGCATGCCTCTTCTTTAGACTTACTCATACTTGTGATTTTTCATCCCAGTAAAAACTCAAGGTGACGTATGTTAACAATAAGAAACACGTTTCACAGGAGGGGAGGGAGAAAAAGATGGGTAATGACAATAACGGTTAGAGAGAAACATGAAGTCAGGTAAGGGGAGAAAAGTGATAGTCGGAAAGGAAGAGAGAGGAGATGAGAAAAGAACAAGGAAAGCAAAAGAAGTGACCAATGAAGTAAAGAGCAGTAAAGAAAAAATGAAGTGAAATAAAGAGAAAAGTGAAATAAAGAGAGGGAAAAAGAAAGAAAAAAGGAAATAAAAAGAGGAAAAGAAAAAAGTGAAATAAAGAGAGGGAAAAGAGAAAGAAAAGTGAAATAAAAGAGGAAATAAAGAAAGGGAAATAAAGAGGGAAAAAGAGAAAAGTGAAATAAAGAGAGGGAAAAGAGAAAGAAAAGTGAAATAAAAGAGGGAAAAGAGGGAAAGGTGAAATAAAAAGAGGGAAAAGAGAAAGAAAAGTGAAATAAAGAGAGGAAAAAGAAAGAAAAGTGGAATAAAGTGAGGGAAAAGAAAGAAAGAAAAGTGAAATAAAGAGAGGAAAAGAGAAAGAAAGGTGAAATAAAAGAAAGGAAACAGAAAGAAAAGTGAAAAAGAGAGGGAAAAGAAAAGAAAAGGAATAAAGAGAGGGAAAAGAGAAAGAAAAGTGAAATAAAAGAGGAAAAAAGAGAAAGAAAAGGTGAAATAAAGAGAGGGAAAGAGAAAGAAAAGTGAAATAAAAGAGGAAAACAGAAAGAAAAGTGAAAAAGAGAAGGAAAAGAGAAAGAAAAAAGTGAAATAAAAGAGGGAAAAAAGAAAAAGAAATAAAAGGGAAAAAGAAAGAAAAGTGAAATAAAGAGAGGGAAAAGAGAAAGAAAAGTGAAATAAAGAGAGGGAAAAGAGAAAGAAAAGTGAAATAAAGAGAGGGAAAAGAGAAAGAAAAGTGGAATAAAGAGAGAGAAAAGAGAAAGAAAAGTGAAATAGAGGGAAAGAGAAAGAAAAGTGAAATAAAGAGAGGGAAAAGAGAAAAAAGTGAAATAAAGAGAGGGAAAAGAGAAAGAAAAGTGGAATAAAGAGAGGGAAAAGAGAAAGAAAAGTGGAATAAAGAGAGGGAAAAGAGAAATAAAATGTGTAATAAAGAAAGGAAAATGGAAAGAAGTGAAATACATTGTGAGAATGAGAAGGACGAAATGAAATAAAGAGGGAAAACTTTAGAGAAAATGTGAAATAAAGAGAAGGAAAGAGACAGAAGAAGCGAAATAAAGAGAGGGAAAAGGAAAAGAGAAGTGAAATAAAGAGAGGGAAAAGAGAACGAAGAAGTGAAATAAAGAGAGGGAAAGAGAACGAAGAAGTGAAATAAAGAGAGGGAAAGAGAAAGAAAAGTGAAATAAAGAGAGGGAAAATAGAAAGAAAAGTGAAATAAAGAGAGGGAAAAGAGAAAGAAAATTGAAATAAAGAGAGGGAAAGAGAACGAAGAAGTGAAATAAAGAGAGAGAAAGAGAACGAAGAAGTGAAATAAAGAGAGGAGAAGAGAAGGAAGAAGTGAAATAAAGAGAGAGAAAGAGAACGAAGAAGTGAAATAAAGAAAGGAAAAGAGAAAGAAGTGAAATAAAGAGAGAGAAAGAGAACGAAGAAGTGAAATAAAGAGAGGGAAAGAGAAAGAAGAAGTGAAATAAAGAGAGGGAAAGAGAACGAAGAAGTGAAATAAAAAGAGGAAAAGAGAACGAAGAAGTGAAATAAAGAGAGGGAAAGAGAACGAAGAAGTGAAATAAAGAGAGGGAAAGAGAAAGAAGAAGTGAAATAAAGAGAGGGAAAGAGAACGAAGAAGTGAAATAAAGAGACGGAAAGAGAACGAAGAAGTGAAATAAAAAGAGGGAAAGAGAAAGTAGAAGTGAAATAAAGAGAGAGAAAGAGAACGAAGAAGTGAAATAAAGAGAGGGAAAGAGAACGAAGAAGTGAAATAAAGAGAGAGAAAGAGAACGAAGAAGTGAAATAAAAAGAGGGAAAGAGAAAGAAGAAGTGAAATAAAGAGAGAGAAAGAGAACGAAGAAGTGAAATAAAGAGAGGGAAAGAGAACGAAGAAGTGAAATAAAGAGAGGGAAAGAGAACGAAGAAGTGAAATAAAGAGGGGAAAAGAGAAAGAAGAATAGGGAAACGAGAAAATTTAAGCGAAATAAAGAAGGAAAATAAGAAAGGAAAGTAGAGAAAATGAAGAAAATGTGTGTGGCTGTTAATTACATAAAGCTTATATAAAAAAAAGTAGAAGGAAAAGATAAAACAAGGAAGGAAAACGAAAGAGAACAGCAGCAAAAAGAGAATAACCAACTTATTACAAAAAAATAAAAAATGAACATGACAAAGGTATTTTTAGATAAAACTGTCGAATATATAGTCTTATTATTATGCTTTACTCGTATTTGTGCAGACGCTATATTTATTTTATTAAATATATATATATATATATATATATATATATATATATCTGTGTCGAAAGGTGACTTGAGAAGCAGAGCATGCAGTCCGTTATGCAGGCTAATTGTCAAGGTGGATAGGGAAAATGAGATCCCACTTGCTACTTCAACGGCTGCGTAAGAAAATGTGACCTCACACAAAAAGTTGGTCTTTCAATGATTTTTAAGAAAAATAATTAATTTTGTTTTAATCTTGTTTACAATTCTTCAAATTAACAATTTCTGTTTTAACGAGACGTAGTCATTTTTATTTTAAATTTAAAAAAATGTTTAAATAAGTTTCTTATCGTTTGACGACGGGTGTCAGAAAATGGCGTTGATTGATGACAAGAAAAGTGAAAATTCGTAATTTTGACGTAAAATAAATTGTTTTAATTAAAGTTGTTTTAATTACCCAAATGTTCTTTTAAGATAAAATTCAACCTGTCTAATTTAAAATAGCACCAACAATAATACATGAGATTAGAATTTAAATACTTTTAATTTAATTTCAAAATTAGCTATTGCAGTGAATTTTTGACATGTTTAATGAAATAATATACAATATTATCAAGAAATTATTTACATAATTTTATAAAAAATAATTTTGAACATTTAAAACGAAATCTTGAAGCATTGAAACGGATGAGACCTTAACTTTTAATCACGACACAATTCGCCGAATGCTCCCTTTCACTCCACGTATGAACTGGTTAAAAACTTTCTGAATAATGGCCACATGACTGAATCCGGGTTTTAAGAAAATGTCAAAGATACTCTCCATGGGTTAAACATTTTAAAAAAGAACTTTTGATGTGACACTGAATTCAGAACCGAATACAAATTTTTCGTCTAAATCTGTTCAACTATAAGTCCTTTCATTTCAGCCGCATACATAAAAACATTATTACTTCAGTAGACTGTGTATGCTGGTTTAATACTGCTGGAAAGCAATCAAAATAATTTCTGCTTTTCGGTGGCTTTCTCTCTGTGACACCCACTTTATAATTCTTTTTCATGCACCAATCTTGAAGGAATAATAAAACAGAAACGGCGAAGGCCATGTCCTTTTCTAACGCAAGCAAAAGCATTTCTGCTTTTCGGTGACTGACTCACGATTATGTTCCGTCTTTCATGCTGCCTACTAAAAATGTAAGTAAATTCATTGCTTGTACTTGCGTCTTTTCTCGATAAACAACAAAAGTTTTCTCTGCTTACACTCCCTAAATAATATCGCTTGTATCAATTATCCTAAGGAACGAAGGAATGGGAAATACAAAAAAAATAAGTAAATAGAGGATAGTGAAAATTATCAAATAATTAATTTTATATTAAACAAAATTATTTACAGAAATATATATATATATAATATATATCCAAGTTAACCGTTTTCCATGCAAAATTATAAAAGCATTTAATGTATTTAAATGCATCTCTCTATCTCTACTCGCTGGACAAATCTCTAATTGTTTTATGAGCCTTGCACACACAGACATATATATATATTGATAATATTAATATGGAAAATATATATATATATATATATATATATATATATATATATATATATATTCGAGAATAGAATCCAGATTGAATGTCCAAGAAGCAAAAATTATAAAGGATCAAAATAAATATTCCATGACTATAATTTATTACATTAGAATCACCTGAAGACAAATTAAAAAACCAAAACAGAAACACTGAATCACTGAAATTTTTTTTTATACCCGGAGATATGTTTTCTGTTTTTTCTTTGAATTTGTAGGTCTGATGAATTGGATCGTGACCCATGGAAAAAACGTTTGTTTTATATATATATATATTATATATATATATATATATATATATATATATATATATATATATATATATATATATATTATCTTTTACAACGATAGAAAATATATATGTTATGTTATATATATATATATATATATATATATATATATATATATAATGCTGAGTCCATCGACAAAAACATTATCAGACAGAAGGAATTATGTCCGTCGTATAAAGCAGCAATAAAATCTGTTTAAAATAGACGTTTTAAAATCTAACCTGGTATTTTGTTTGCGTAATTTTGAATTATTTTCTCAGCTTCGTTTGACTCTAAGAGCAATCAACACTGAAAAGGCAATCAAAATTATTGTCGCTTCATTTATCTAACTATCCTGCTCACAGGAAGTTAGATAAATAACAAACTTATCAGATAACTGAGAAACGTGCATCCTGGAATCTTATCCTGCTTAAAGAGCTATGGTTCCGGAACACGAGCTTTCATTTTGTAAATATTTTAAGAATTTAAGGTTATTTATATCGGCCACAATAGACAACGGTTTCTTTCCTTTAAACTGGCTCATGATTGGCGGGCGATGGCGAGTATCTGCTATCAAGTCTCAACCTTTTCTTTGACTTTTCCACTTTATGCACGAGGTGATTATCTGCGTAGTAAGGTTCGATTCTTTCAAGAACAATGTTACGTAAGCCTCAACAAAGTTCGTGCTCATTGTAAAAGCGCTTGATTCCATTGGTGAAGTTGAATTAAAAAGAATAAAAACTTGTTAATTCCAACGAATAATTTATTGTTAAAACAGACATATTTCTCTTTTAAGTCAACCTATATCATATCGGGGTGGTTTCCTGTGAAGCCCTCCCCTGCTTAAGTTAGACAAGCTTTTGTGTACCTAGTTAATATCAGTAAGTGTTGTTCCTGGCCTGTTCCCGGCTACATCTTTGGTTATTATTCAAGTTGAGATTCCTAACTTCCCCAGTTTGTTTTGGCCCCCTTTTTCCATCTCGACTGGGTCAACTTTATTCATCCCCTATGCCCTATTATCATCCCCTATTATCTCTTTTCCTTCTCCCTTAGCGAGAGAGCCTCTTGATTTTGGTCCAAAGGCAGAACACAGCGGCTTCTCTTTTTTCGAAGGGTTGGACGGGTCCTACTGACATCAGTTATGTTTATTTTTGCTTCGTTTTGATGTTTAGTTTGATTTGGGGTTCGCCCCTCCTCTTTCATGATCATTCATCCGATTTGTATATATATATATATATATATATATATATATTGTAAATAATATTTATCATCTCATTGGGATGTTTTATCTTTCTTTTTTTTAAAGACTCCCCCCCCCCAGAGGGTTGTGGTATTATGGTGTATGGAGGATTGATTGACGACGGATGAGTTTTTTTTTATGGTGAATGAGGAAATTGTAACGAGTCGTGAATCCGATTAGCTAGGTATAAGATAGTGAAGACCAGCCTCAACCCATCCCACCTTTTCGGCCTTGTGTCATAATTGTATTAATTTACAATAAATCTCGATATATTTCGGAAAGCTTTTGCAATCCTTGATCACACTTGAGAAATAAGTGAGACAGTGACTAAACTGCATTGTATATGTTATAAATTCAAATTAAAAATTTTTTAAATCGAATTGAGTTCGTGAGACATGCATAAGCTGAAAGTGTGAGAATTGCGTAAAGGAAGAAAGAAACGTCATTTCAAAACCAGAATAGAAAAAGAAATTACTCCTTCTAGTTTTTCGTATTTTATTAAAATTAAAAAAGTTCAAGTTCGTGCTAGTTTTCTCTGTATTCATGTGACCATTCCAAAAGTAATGTTTTTTCCCCTTTGTATTATTGCAGCAATTATTTGTTGAAATTACTGTCTTGAACTTGAAATTCCTGGCATTCGATGAGCGTTATCCTTTACATATTTTCCTAAAATATTGTGGTTCATCTTTAAAACCTGAAAGGTTCGCTGCACGAATAAGAATGGATTCCAGTAAATTATAAAACTGCTTCGTCATTTGATGTTTTCAGAAGTATGTCAGATCAAGAACTTTTTAGCGCCATCTTGTATGTTCCAGAATCTATAAATAGTTCCAGAATCTTTAAGTATTATATTGTATGATTTTTATGTATATTGTATTATATTTATAGATATTTTACTTATATATTGTATATATTATATTATATATTTATTTATATTTTATTATATTGTTATATTGTATATAGTATTATTTTGTATGTTCTACAATCTATATATAGTTCCAAATAACAACACGCAGGAAAGTTTACAACAGTCAGAAAAAAAGGTTATTTTTTCCATAGGATATATTTAAATATATTCCAGTGTAAAAAAAAAAATGTATGTGTGCATACGATTGGACGGGCATCACTGCTACTCAACTATCTCCTAAATCTCTCACGCTATGGCTCCAAGTTTCCATGCCCTACTAAACCGTTTGATCTTGCAGACTAAACTCACATGGGGGGGGGTATTAACACTGCACGACTGAATGAAGGACCTCATCGACGCAGGTCATCGGCGTAGGTGGAAGTGTTCCTCAGATGAACTACAACGGTCATTTGTTCGCAGCCAAGGATGGGCTACTTAGTTGGACATCGGCTGTTGTCTAATCTGGAGAGGGACAGGATCCGCCAGGTTAAAAAGTTCAAAGATATGTCACATGATGAGCACACCAAGAAAACTATTCGCAATGACCCCGGCTGTGACACACTAACGTGGCAGATGGAGGAGAAGATGGTACAGCTCAGAACGTCCGCACCCCTAGCAACTCCTTCCGGGGTTAAGGGCGAAAGAAGAATATTAAAATATACAGGTATTTAGAATGAAACTCTTTGAAATACTTTTTAATAATTTAGTTGAAAAGTTATACTTAAAATGTTAAAAAGGTTGATGCAAAAAAAAATTCAACGGGGAACCATTTATGCTTAACACAAATCATAAACATAAAATATGAATTTCTGATTTATTTGTCATGTCCGAGAAGTTTTCACTTGGCAACCAAGAGGAGGGTTCCTTTCATCCACCGGTGCTGACTTGTGATATTTTCTTGAAAACTTGAGGTGAGTTGCTGCCATTTGGTTCCCGGGGATGGCAGCCAGATATCTGGCATGGGCATGCAGATATGTGTAATAAAAATAATATAATCACATATGATAAGTGTATTTCACTTTGTCTGTTCTTGATAGAGAGCCGTTTCACAGAAGTAGGCTCAATATCATGACAGATTTAGTAGTCAAGAGAAAATCGATGTTTCCCCAAACAAAAACTATATTACATGAACTACAGTTTTGCGTGGCCTCCCAGATCAAATTTTTCTGGTTATCTTTATTGTCAAGGCACATCTTTAAGTGACGTTAGACATCTTCAGCCGGTCCAAAGAAGGAAAATCCAACAGAAAAGCTACAACTAAGAAACCTCCATAACATCGACTGACTTTGCTATTAAGTGAACCTGTAAATTAAAAGTAAGAATGATAACACACTCTAGTCTCTTTTTCAGCACGAAACTTTCCATGCAATACATGTGAACCCCCCTCTCCCTTTAAACTTCCGACCGGCAAACCCAATCATCAGCTTAATATGGATATAAGATCAAATGGTGAGAATTTTATATGATCCAATTATAGTAGAAAATAGTTACTATCACTGATGTGAATTGAAAGGTTTGCATCTTTCAATATTGTATAGTTTTTCCTAATTGATGTCTCCGACCCTTTTCTTCGTTTCATCAATACTCATCCTTCTCGATAAAAAAAAGTAAATATTTTTTAAATACCAAGATCCTGACTGACGAGTCTGATTGCCCGTCCAAGTTGACCTTAAGACGTTTATTCATGGCTTTATTCGTCGATGAAAGTTACATGAAGTTAATACAGCGACTGAGTTTCTAAGATACATCTTCATAGATACTGAAAGGCGAATGGCGAATCAATATTTGAGTTTAGTTTTTAGAAAAGTGTCTCTGTTTATATGTTTTATAAACGTTATTTTTTAGTATTTAATCACAAGATTATAAGGGTGTTTTTTGTTACCCTTTTCTTTAAGATTTCTCCGCTGCTGTCCATAGAATACTCAGCATCCTTCTTAGGAAATGCTACGAAGATGCATCAACTGAGGTCCTTCGGTATGTGGCTTCTATTCTATATTTCTGCTATTACTTCTGTGATTTTATTGATGCCGAAAACGTCTAAGTCTGAGAGCATTTCTATTACGTCGATAGCGTCTGGCTTCCTTGTTGCTGTTTCCGTCCATCTTGTGTACGCTGCTTTCCGACCCTT